CAAGGATGGAGCACTTAGACTGCAGCCCAGAACCCAGGTCTGCTTACTGAATCTATTTAGAGTCCAGGTTGCTGAAGTGAGAAAGCAGGCAGGCTGGGCAGTGTCCCTTGAGGAGCCCTGGGCATACAGAAGTGAGTGTGCCAGCGTCCCCGGGGGAGCTGAGTGCTTTATTTGCTGGCCCTGTTTGCTCTCATTCACAGTTTCGTTCTGATGTGGGAGCAGCTGCTGCCACTGGCTGATGCACTCCTGTGTGCAGCAGCAGCGCGGAAATGACACAGTCAAGTAGCAAACCACATGCCACCTGAGCTAGTGTAAACCCCGGACAGCAGGGGGCCAGTGGAACAGGAGGTGGCTGGCATCTCATTGGACAGGCTGGGCCCGAATCTCCATTGCTTACACCCTGTGTGGTCACTAACACACGTGCAGAGTGCTACCGTCCTGGTCTGGCCCACTTTGAGCCCTGACTACTCCCCTTCCCATCCTGAGGAAGAGACGGGCCCCCCAAGGCCCAGGGGAATGGCTGGTACTGTGAAAAGAGGGAGTGCCGAAGGCCAGAATTGCAGGCCACAATCCAAATGTCACTCTGTATGCAATCCCAGGCTCTTCAGAGAGCTGCATGGTGGTACAGATCAGGTCCGTCCCTAGAAAGGGAGGCAGATAAGAGATGGGAGATAGCTAGACATAGGCTATGTACCCATCAGCATAGGAGCTCAGAGCTGTACCAACCAGTGCTACTTCCCCAGAGAGGAGCCGAGTCCTGCCAAAGCTCCAGCTCTGTCTAAGGAAAGCAACAAAATCCTTCAAGGAGGAACAGGCTTTTCAGGAAGACGAATCACAATCAGATTCTTTCAGTTCAGCGTCTCCCTGTAAACCACCATCTGTTCCGTCCCTCGATCTCATTCAGGATGAAAGAGGAGGCTGTGCTCTCCCCTTCCAGCAGTGAAGGGCTGGAAATGCCTATGGGAATGCGTGTGTGTCGCTGTCTCCATTATCAAACAAAGACGAGAAGGGAATTCAGTTCCAGGTTCATGTGGCAGATTTCAAACACACACGCTGCACTCCGCCATCGAGGGCATTTTCACAAGTACGTGGCATTGTGCGCTATACTCCAGTCTGCTGAGACCTGGCTCACCACAGCCAACCATTCACTCATAGCCCCTAGGATCCCGGGACTCTGCCCCGTGCTGCTCTTCCTGCCCCAGTTACCGCTTGCTTGAAAGGTGCACAGTATGGATGTGCCATGTCCCATGCTGGGGAGGAAGGACAGCCTCATGGGTAGGGCACTGGCTTGAGACGTGGAAGACCCAGATTCAATTCCCTGTTCCACCCTGGACTTCCTGCCTTACCTCAGGCAAGTCACTGAGCCTCAGTTTCTCTTCTGAGAAATGGCATGATAAAGCTTCCCTACTTTACAGGAGTCCCAGAGAGGAGGTGGCACCACTGGGATAAAAGCACTGCCCATTGAAACATCACAGAACAAAACCCCTATGACTGAGTCAGCCACAGGTCCACAGACAGGTCCCACATTGTATCTGTTTCCTTTCTGATCTTCCCACACATGGTTGTGTGTGGAGCTGCCACTCTGGAGAAGTGTGTCTCTTCAGCAGCATTTGCTTTGTCCTCTCCTCAGGATGCGAGGGACTTGTTTGAATTAATTACATCCGAAAATGTACTGTTCATATGTTAACTGCAGCAGAAATACCTTTGTGTGTTAGCAGTTACCTAGCTCCTTCAAGGCAGCAATTAACACCTACTGTTAAATACCAAGAACTTCTGCACCACTGTTGCCCAGGTGCATCTGCTTCCCGGGACTTTGGGGATGGGAGCATGGTTGGCAATTGCATGGGTGGGGATTATTATATCTCCCTGCAGCATTTGGAGCTCCAGACGTTTGTAAGTAACTTGCAGGCTCATGCTTCTCCCCTATCCCCTCCCACACACCTGCCTTGTCTCACCCCCAAAGTTTTGATCAATCTGGGCCTCTAATCCTGCTCTGTTCCATCTAGTCTAATGCTGGCAGCGGCAAAACATAATCACTCAGGAGAACGTGGAGAACCTCCCAGGATGCCCCACGCGTGGGTTACAGGATGGGTAGAGAATTCCTCCCATCCCTTGCGAGCCACCTTGTAGCCTAAGATTCGATTTCCCTTGGATAACCAAATGGGACTCCACATTTGGCTTTCAATACAGGGCAGCTGACACTGATGGCAGCTGTGCAGAGGGGTGGCTTCCTGCTGGCTGGGACCTGCGCCTCTCCCAGGGCCAGGTCTCCTTTCTCCTGAGAAAGCCAAGAAACCTCCCATTAAAGAGTGAAGGGAAAAACAAACAAAAGTCAGCCTAGTTTGGAGAGCACCAAAAGAGAGTGCAGGGCTGTGCCTGGCCTGTGGGGCTAGGGAAGAAAAAACAATGGTACCAAATGGACCCTGGAGTTTGTTGAATTGAAGGGGATTGTGCTTGGCCTGGGGGAGGGTTTGGGATGCAGGGAAGTGTGAATGGGCCTGGGGGAGGGGGTGCTTGGGCTGGAGAGGGTTAAACAAGGTGTGAACCGGAGTCCCCTTCCTTCCCCCTGGGTTTAGTTACTCCTTTGATTAGAGAGTGTAAATGTGAGAAAACAGAGCTGGTGCCAATTAAAGCCGGCTCCCTTCTCAGAGCTTGTCCCCTGTGAACCAGCCGTTCTGGGAGGCTGGTTAGCACAGCCAATGTGGGAGACTATCCTGCATGGGGCAGCTGGGCCTCCTGGCTGTAACCGGGGGGGCCTGGCAGATCTGGATCAGGTGCCCTGTGGAGAGGCAAAGATGCCCTGCAATGTGATTGGCTGGAGAGCCGGGTGGGAAGACGCCTGGAGGCAGGGATGGGCTGGCAGGCTGTCAAAATTATTGGGGGGGGGGGGAGAGCCTGTCTGCCGCGCCCCCACCACCCCAAGGGGCACCCCACCACCCCTGGAGCCTGCCAGCCGCGCCCCACAAGGGGCACCCGCCACCACCCTGGAGCCTGCCAGCCCCCCACCACCCCCACAGGGCGCCCGGCCCCCCCTGGAGTGTAGGGTGGGGGCAGGCAGACTCTAGGGGGGCCGGTGCCCCGTGGGGTGGGGGGGCTGGCAGGCTTGGGGGGGCGGCGCCCCGTGGGGGTGGAGGGCTGGCAGGCTGCGGGGGGGGGGGCTGGGCAGGGCTCCGGGGGGGGGGGGGGGGCGGCGGCCCCGGGGGGGCGGGTCCCGAGCCGGGGTTAGCGAGGGCCA